CCGATAGTACTGCAGCAGAGCAGATTGAAGCCTTGAGCAAGCCCCGGGTTCATGGCAGCTGACTGTTATCCGAGTACAAGCAGTATGTCCACAAGGGAACGCAGTTGGGGTGCAAAGCGCTCACCGTATTCTCGCCGTAGTTGCCATCATAGTACTTCCCCTCTGTATAGCAGCGAGTCGAGAAAAGGCGGCTGGAGGGAGGTGCACTGGGTAGGGTTGCCGGCAGTTGGGATCCGCAAGCAAGTTGGCCAAGTAAGCCAAGGCTTAATAATCAGATCAGTGCGCACCTGAGTGATTTATGGTGCACTGCTCTGACCAATCCTTGGCTGTGGCTGCTAGCGAATCATTCCAGACCAGTGGCGGCGACCTGCATGGCCAACAGAGGCATAGGTAGTCAATCGAGGGCAAGCTTTGCAGCCAGCGGGACTTCGTTCTTCCAGCGTGGCAAGCTGAGACCACAAAAAGCCAGCCAGCAATTGGGGAGGCCGCTACGCACCCGTGCAGCGACCGGTGGTAGTTTGTGAGGTTGAGCATGGCATCGATCTCGGCTTGGGTCCCTTCCAGCCCGCACCCCATGCTGCGACCAAGCAAGGCAAGGGAACACGCAGGCGGTATGAGGTAGCTGCAGGCTTGATGGGTCCATGCGCTTCCAAGGCAACATGGTCCCAGAGCCATGTCAGCCACAGCAGTGCCAGCAATGCCTAGGCTGTCCCCGTCTTTGTCTCCGCCGCACCTTGAACGTGCCCCGCAGGCGAGTGCCACCAGCATGTACAGCACCGCCTGCCACGCACGTGGCATGGTGGCCACTGCAGATGCCCTCTCGGTCTGCATGCGAGAGAGGGATGCGGGGAGTATGTGTGAGTCTGTGCTGCAAGCTTGTTCTTGCTGAAACCAGACTGTAAGCCCACACAAGCAAGAGGGCACGCGATGCGGCAGTGCCAGCTGCAGTGCTCTCCAGAAGGCGCCTTAGCTGCCAGTCGGCTACCGCTGCAGCGGGAGCAGGCGGGGTCCCTCCCTGCGGCCGCTCGCTGCTGCACAGTGGTGTCCACAAGCCCTTACATAGCGTCTGAGTGCTGATAACAGTGCACCTACTGCGCCTCCCAGCTCCGGCCGGGAGTTGTTCTACTGGTCCCTTCGCTGTTCCCTGGCTCCTTGAGAGCCAAATGGCCGCGTGGCACTGTGTTCGCAGCCCCAGCAGCCAGGGTCGCGTGGGAGAGACTTTGTGGAGTCTGCCGTGGCAGACGGCTCCCCCTAGAGCCCTGCTGCCTGCACTTGTGGACGAAGGGGACCGCACAGACTAGAATGGTGTTGCCGCATAAGATTTTGGGCCCGCCAGGCCGCGTCCCCTGGCCTCCGTATCGCCGCTTTTCGCGCTCTCCGCTCAGCAGCTGTGGAGCCCAGGGAAATGGACGTTTTGTACCGTGGGGACGAAATTCCGTGGGTATGGAAGGGCCAACAACAAGCAGGATCAGCTGTGGGCGAGGCGGCCGCCCCATCCGGGGCGCATGCCCGTCGGCGGGCATGCGCAGCTGCTGGAGTGTCTGTCTGTCTGTTGCTTGTTGCTTGCTTGTGTGGGCTTAAAGTCTGGTAAAGCAAGAACTAGCTTGCAACATAGACTCCCCGCCGAAACGGGACGGGAACCGGGCGAAAGCAGAGAAAGCAATAAAACAGGGGTGGAGCAAGGCGACATGCAACGCAAGCAGCTGACAGGGCACGCATCGAAACGTGTGTATGACTGGCAAAGTGGCATGGCGCATTGGGGAGAAACGCAACGGTACGGGAGCATGGGCTGGCCAAACGGCAGTGCGGAACGCTAGGTCCCTGTGTTACAGTCACCCCGCTATGATAGGCCGCGTGAGCAGACCTTGGGCAGGGGGCACACGTGATCAAGGGGCATCAAGAGAGGGGGTGGACCATGGAGCACCCTCTCCATGGCTCCGACCACCCTCCCCCCAGCTGAGCGTCCCAGGGTCACCCCACCCTGGCCCCGCTCCCCGTCCTGCCGGACACGCAACCCCCACAACGTGGTGGGGGACGTGGGGATCCTTAGCAGCTTAGGCCTGCCAGGCCGACGGGTGCCGATGCTGTTGACGGGAGGTATTTACAAAGGCAGCAAGAGTAGTAAATTCGCACTAGAGGCGGCGTTAAATAGATCTGGGGTGGAGGAGCATATTCCCGGCATATACTTGGGATATTCCTGATACGATGCGGTA